AATGAAAAAAGATGATGATTATGGTGACGATAGTGATTATTGTTATGACGATGGTGATGATGATATATTAAAGATAGTGTCTTTGATAAAGATGGTGATGATTTTGATATAGTGAAGTTAGTGATAATGATGATGATSATAGCGAAGATATTGAATAAATCATTTTGTACGTCCCGAAAATTTCAAACCAACATGGCGGCTATGACRTCACTTACCTCAAGTGTGTATCAAGAATACGTACTAGTTAGCTACTCAGTACATTATTTTGCTTTTTGTTATTTCACAGGCTCCTTCCTGTCCGGCCAATCACATTACACCAGAAAGCCTTGTTCTGTCTGTGGATGATTATCATGTTTTCTTGGATAACGTTACTTATATTCGGCTTTGTACATAAACGGAGACATAGACACAAGAAAGATGAGGAACTTTCTGAAGAAAGTGAATCAGGTTGGACATTTCTTCTTTGCAACATRTTTTTTTCCTTTTGCAAGAAAGTAATAATCACAGATTCATTATAGGCTTAGCCTTGTTTATAAGTCAGCTATTCACAGATACCATTTAAATTCCGCGAGATTTCAAACATTGGAGTTGTTCAAACTGAACATTCTTTACATCACCGTACAGTTGACTTTTGCAAATGTTTTGCAGTTAAGCGGGGCTAAGTCGGTGCAGATGAGTCTTTAGTCATATAACACAACCTTATTTGAYGAATAAGAATAGAGAATAGGGCTATTGTTTTTCTTGCAGAAAGCGAAGAAGAGGTTTCGCACACACATGCACCTGAGCGTAAGTACTCGAGGACCATAGACTGGGACAAGAATAGAGATTCTAGCCTGAAATATGACTGAAAACAGAATGTCTAWGATTACTAATTTGCAGGAGTCACTCAGAAATGTTTTGGTCATGATCACATGACCAATGGTCATCCAAATGCTTGATAATGATGAGGACGTGAACTGTTAAACTGACCAAACATATATGTCTATTCCACAGCTTCTATTTCCCGGTTCGGTCGAGGTGACGCAACAGTTGAAAGTAAAGTTACCCAAGGCTTTATCGAAGGCGAGAATGCGTTACCATGGCGACTAAAAGGAGAGTCGTTTATTGAGTGGCTCAAAGAGACGGCTCCTGACCAGCCTGACGTGAAAGAGTTCTTGGGAAAAGCGACTCTATTTGGTTTTATGATGTTGTACTTTTGGCTGTGTGATTATCAACATATTTGGTAATGAGGATTCAAGTCATTTAATACTCTTACTTTAGAGTCTGCTAGGTTTTAGCTTATCAGTGGAATGAAAACTTAAAACACATGAGAATAAGGGATGATACCTAACCTGAACGATTATTGACGTAAACGCGTGCATTTAGACTAAAAATGCCAATCATTATTGTTGGGTTGGACTAGTGACGTAATTTCGTCTCATGCGGAATGTTCATCAGCTGAAACGCAAGTCTCGATAGAGTTCTTTCTGGCTGACAGCACATGGTGGTCAGTGTTTGTTGCGAGTTGTGCGTAGCCAYGTCCCCAGGCTACTCCGTCAGCTCTCCCAAATCCAAAATGGCGGACGCTTCAAATTGCGTAAGTTTGACGTCATGCTTAAGAAGAAGAGCRAAGAGAGCAGCCTAGGGGCGAGGCTACGTTGTGCGCGCGTATATTTTCATGCTTATGGCAGCTCAATATCTAACTTACCATTTCTGTAATTCGTTCAATTTTATTTGTTTATTCATTTCAGGCCCAAAACTGAGAAACAGTACTCCAGAGACACGTTCACTTTTTTGTTCGCTCTCCTGGTGATCGTAGCTATCGTATTTACTGTACGAAAGACTCCTGARAAACTTTTAAACAGAGATCAGACAGAAGAATGGAAAGGATGGATGCAGGTTGGACATACTATAGCCTTTTATGAGATAGCGAACATGGTAAATTGTGCTCTAGTTTGGGTGACACCACCATACAAGACATGGTGGACAAAAGATGTTTGTACCCAAGCTAGACCACAATGCATCCTGCTTCTTTCCTGAGTTTAATAAACACTTGTGTACAAACAACACCATATGAGGCATTTATCGGTCCCATTCATCTATACATTTACRCAGCTTTGACCACGATTTAAACGAGTGGTAAATAAATTGAAATTATAATTTGTAACATTTCTGGATTCTTGGCATGATGAGTAAAAGATATTTGTACTCAACCTAGACCACAATGCACCAAGTTTGCTATCTCAGAAGGTATTTGTAATACCAAACTCAGAATTTGAGGGGAAAGCTGGTTAGTAGTGACTTAACGTTGATTGACTCTCACACACAAATCAGTTGACGATTTTACATACTAAGAAAAACAAAGACTCACATTGTCAAGGTAGTATGCGGATCCACTCGGCTGGTACTAATATGACAAGATACCCCTAATTTTCCTCTCTCCCCTTCAAACTCGTCCCCACTCACCGTGTGACCAAAACAGGAAAAAACCCGACTCGACTGAGTTAGTAGTGAAAAGAGGGACTCAGTGTAACAATCTAAATACGTCTCTGACTTTTTGTTTCAGGTCCAGTTTGTTTGGTACCACTACTTTGATGCGCAAGAAGTGTTTAATTCTGTCCGGTGTTACATCGATGCCTACGTATGGATGACTGGATTTGGTAAGCCAGAACGCARGGAGCCCAATTAAAATAAACTAATGAAAATGAATTTGGCAAAGTTAACTTTGATTTTGAAGCACGCTACCTATGACTGAAAATATGAAAACGAAAATATTATGGATGCATGCAATCGAGATGCAAATGAGACAATAAGCATTGTATCGAYCCGATAGCCTCACTTGTATGATTCTTAAACATAAGCATATCTCATTGCTGGCTCATTTGCTATTGCTCAACTTCACTTGAAGTCATTTCCTTTCTCGTGCGGAATGTTCATCAGCTGAATCACRAGTTTTATTTTTTGCACTCTATTATAAATTTACATTCCTTTTGCAGGTAATTTTTCATATTTTTGGGTGAAAAAAGATTACTCCATATTCAGACTCTTAAAGATGATGTTTCGTCTGAACTTCTTGGTTGTCATGGTGATGGCAGTAACCAATCATGAGTTCGTACGTTATTATATCTGTGCCATGCATACCTATTGGTTCTTGTCTGTCTACGCAATGATGGCTGTCTTTAAGTCCTATAACACGGTAAGTCYTCATGCCGATGTACTTTCGTATGGGCTCCCTGTGCCATTTTGTATTTGCCCCATTTCGCATTACCGAAGACCCAAATGAGCAAAACGTTGTTGCAAGGTCTTACGACAAAATTATTAATTGAAAAAATTAAGGTTTAGAAGTCGCATTTCATTGGCTGAGAACATCAATCCAAAGCTCGTGCTACGACGTACCGTGAACGATATACGAACGATAAAACTTGTTACGGGCAATGTTGAGAAGTAGATTTCTATTCTATTTCTGCAACGTTGCGCACTGGCGGAGAGTTGCCGTTCCTCCCGTACAATACAACTGACAAAGAAAGGCAGACTCAAGAAAGGAAAAATAAAATAACAAGGGTGTTTTTTTATGTTATAGCACAGAGGAGTTATGGCAGCAAAGTTCGTGATTTACCTTGTCATCAACGTCCTTATCTTTGATATTCCTGGTGCCTCCTACAAAGTTTTCTGGCCTTTCCAGTTTATTCTCAACGTTAAAGGCAATCTAGACTACTGGGTGTACAGATCCACGTAAGTATTGTACTGTTTTACTAGTACCAAATCAAGAGTTGTAGCAGTAGTACAMTCACCTCTTACCTYTGGGGTCTCGTGCTTCTGGACTCGGCATTATATAAAGACTTTGCTAGGTCTCTCCCTTGATTTGAGGTTTAAGTCTTGGTTGCCCGGGTTTCCTTTCTCCAAAAAACCTMAATTGTAATTCGATCTTTGAGTTAGCCGTGCTCAGACTTAGATTAGCGCAAAGGTTGTTTCATGCCTCGTGTTCCGAGCCAAATCAATCTCCCTAATATTTTAATCCCTTCAACCTACAGCGCGTGCGCTACAGTTCAATCATCAAGTGGTACCCACGTGCATACCGCACATTTTGTTACCTTCACATGAAACTTTTCTTTCTTGWTATTATTACACAGCTTGGATCACATTGCCACCTGGGTCGGCATGCTATGTGCATACAACTACCYCTACGTGGAACAATTCCTGGCCTACCTGGACAAACCACACGAAACAAGCAAAGAAAAACGAACTGCTATAGTCTTGAAAGCTTTGGTAACAATATTCTGCATAGCYATCTTCATACTATGGTTTTACTTCGTTTTATTCCAAGAGAGGGAAATATATAAACGTATTCACCCCTTCACGGCATGGATACCCATAATAATCTACATATGGGTGAGAAACTTGTTTCCGTATCTAAGGTCTACTTATCTTAATCTATTCGCGTGGCTTGGAAAGATCACCTTAGAGACGTATCTATCACAGATACACATCTATATGATTGGAGATGCTAAGAAAATCCTTATCTATATTTCAAAATATCCACTGCTCAACTTCATGGTTTCTACTGTGATTTATATCGCTGTTTCCTACGTTCTGTTTCATCATACTTTGTTTTTTAATTCGTTTATTTTTCCTAAGAACATGAGGGTTGTGTGTAAGAACTTGATAATSGGTTTTCTTGTGGTGGGTTTGTGTTATTTGTGTTCGTTTTTGTTAACGCTAGCGAGTGTTTGGTGATGGTTGATAATTTTGTCTTAGTCTGAATTTGCGAAAAAATAATAAATTGGATAAATTATTACTGGATATTATATCTTGGGATCTGTGTCACTTCAATATATACACATGTACAGGTACCCGCCAAAAGGAAGCGAGAAACTCCTAAAAGAAAGAGAAACGTCTTCAGAGGAGCCGTGTTAAATGTAGACTGGTAACAACCTTTTACGCCTGTCTCTGCTATTGGGATTCCTGTGCCAATGAGAGATTGAGGTTARCTTTATCGACTCCGACGCGCATGCGCATTCTGCCAAAGGTTCGCCGACAAGAATATCTGAAATAGTGGGTATATCTTTAATATGACCTTAATGAAAGTAGACCGGTATAATTGTTTTACATTTATGCTAAGTTACAGATATCTTTCGTTCTGCCTCCGCTAGTGGGATCCCTGTGGAACTGGAGTCAATCGACTCCCATGCACATGCAGGCTGGAGTTAGTCCGTTAAACATAAAATAGTGCTGTATTTACGGGTTTAGTTATAACTAATTTTAAATTTAATCACCCAAATGAGAACTATTACGTCACTTAGATTCCCTATTTTAACAGAACATTTCAAACACGAGAAAGCCGGGTGCGGTGTTTGGAAGAAAGAAGGCGATGCCGAGTTATCTTTAACCAATTTTGAGGAATATAACTGAGATGAAACAGTCTTTCATGGTTGGATATCATATGACGTTTTAAACTATTTTTCTTTTAAAAGTAAAATTTTACCAAATTTTTATCACGCATCCATGCAAACCAGCCTTAAAGTGTGATGAAAACCAGTCTACTTCTGAAGTCCATAGACTTCCATCTCAGCAACATTAAAATTTCCGTTACCGGTTAGGAAGCATGATGACTGACCCGAGGGAAGCACATAAGTATAACCAATATTAACAGAACAATTATTTGAATTAGGGTTATTATAGATTTGCAGGTCGTTGTTCCCACCAAATATCGGGCCATAACTATTGGCGCAATATATTGCATTTTGTTGATTCTGCACTGCCTTCATTTGTACGGGTGATGTACCTCCAGGGTTAACGATACTGAACAGGAAAGCAGAATGGTCGGTCTTGTACTGATCATTACCTGGTAAATTAAAAAATGAAAACTCCTTCGATCTCCGGCTTGATGCTGAATGTATGAGACATTAAATATTATGTACAGAAACAGATAGACTGATTCCAAATTCTTAAGGAAGGACCCTATATAGCTTTTATTTAATGTATATTCTACTTCTTCAATAATGTCCATCCCAGCAGGAGGCAGGGGAGAGGGTGAGAGGGAGGGAGGGGGGTTATATCATAGTATTTTCTCGTGTACATTCGAAAGACATCGAGACTTCTGATCACGAGATTTCACGATCTGATTGCAATAATGAGATGCACGGGCCGTACAGTYTGGACGTCCGTACAAAATTCAGGGGCTCTCGAGGGYAACCGGTCATGACCCTCCATTACCATGACCCACTCCAACATCCATGACCCCCCATACAATCATCCATGAACCCCCAACATGTATGCCATCGAGTACATGTACATGACCCCCACTTATCTTACGATAATGAATAATAATTAATAAGATTATAATACACTCAACAAAATTACTCGATTCTGATTGGTCAAGAGGAGTACAATTAAATCCCAAATTGTACTCTGTAGAGTACCAATTAAGTTGCTCAATTTTGTTGTGTATTATAAACAAAAAATCGCACAATTTTCTCGTACCATTCTGAATTTATAGATACTCGTGATGTTTTGAAAGTTCTCAAATTGAACTCGTCTAAAGGCTCGTCCAAATTTGAAACGTTCAAGACATCACTCGTACCCATAAATTCCGAATTGTACTCAAGATCGTGCGATTTCCTACACTTATTTTTCTTAACGTCATATAGATTTATSTGACTATTCAATAGTGTGCCTAAATGCACTCTAATATTGAGGTTTAGTTTTTTGTCACTGATCGATCGTTTCAGAATCAGATTCATGTTCAAGAGAAACAAAGAATTACTTTTTAGGCAAAGGTAGGCATTTATTTAAATAAAAAAAACCCCACAAATCATTAAGTTTTAATTTTCAATTGATTACAGTGTGTTGCCCTTATTCTGGACAGTTTTGCAATTAATTGTATCATCACTCTATAATCGTTATATCATGCCTTGGGATTATAGGAGCGATTACCTAGATATTTTCATGAATATTTAGATTACTGCCTCAAGTCGGTCATTACGTTTTATTTGTTTAAAGTGCACATGAACCCTTTGACAATACATTCAGTACTG